CATGCCCCACCCTGTTTGGATTCTCTTGTTTGCTTTATGTTCAAGTTTTTAAGTTAAGGTAAGTTTGATTTGTGGCATGTGGTCAAATATTGGAAGGGAAATATTGATCATGGCTTTATTTGTTTTATAGCAAGTTTGTTTTAAAGAGATATGGTTAGTTTGAATAGATAGTAAATATCGATCTTATATTATTTATATTTGGTAGTATTTATTTACTGAATAATATTTGACATATCCTTATGGAATATGTGATATGGATCATGCAATTATATGGAATACATGATATTTATTTTATTTAAATATATTGATGAGAAAATGGTTTAAGGAAATGGGGATAATGGTTCAAGCACCTTCCATAATATTGATGAACCATCTATGGAATAGATGACTCAGATTTCTCACCCCACAAGTCACTTTAATCAACGGTCCATATTCAATCTCAAGAAAGACATAAACTATGGGAACCCTAAAGAAACCTAAACCTAAATTTCAGTATAAATAGGGGTGCTTTCCCCATCTCTACACACCTCTCTCTCCCATAAACTCTCTCTCTCTCTCTCCTCCGTAGGGTCACACCCCTCTCTATACTCTCTGATATTCTCTCTCTACTCTTTCTCTCTCCTAAAAAGACTCTTATTTTCTCTCTCTATTCTCTCTCTCTCTCTCCTAAAAAGACCTTAGGCGGCACGCCTCAACATAGAGTCTCTCTCTCATGATCTAATCTAAGGGTTGGGAAAATTAGGCTCACTCTTTCTCATGATCTAATCTAAGGGTTGGGAAAATTAAGGTTTGAGCCTAATTATTTTGGAGTTAGGGTTTGTAGAGATTTAAGGGTGGTTATCTAGTTTGGTCGAAATTAGTTTTCCAGTTCGAGATTGAAGCTAGACCACAGATCTCGTGCCATTGGATGTGGTGACTCGGTATGGGGTGTAAAAAACCCGATTGAGGTATCTTTTATTTTATTTGTTAGTTCTTTTATTTTATATTCTCAAGCACAATATTAGGTTGTATGAATGTCATCAAGTAGTTGAGATTTATTTGATGTGTTATTTATTTTTGGAATTTATATTGTTTGTAATAAGACCATATGTGAGTGATCTTATTGCCAAAATTACAAGGGGTGATTATTAAAAAATAAATAAATTGTATTTCTCTGACAAAAGATTCTATAGATCTTTCTTTCAATATGTAGTTCTACATTATAAGGTAGCATCCTTATATAAACTTTGAGTAGAACAAGGTGTTTTTGGTTGGAAACCTTTTGTATGATTGAGGTTGCTTAAAAAACCTTTCACGTAAGGTGACGGGGTAGTTCTTGAGGAGACTACTCCCTTTGTTCACCTTCACCTTATTTTGGTTAACCAGTAACAGGTTTGTAAACCATAAGCCCCTCATTTACAGATGAAAATAGCAAGGAAACAATTTGATATATTTCGAAGAAGTCCGAGCTCTAAGGTCATAAAAAGAAATTGCGCAAAAAAACCAATGTTATTATTTTTAAATAGATTTGCATAAAAACAAATTGCAATGACCAAAGTTGTTTTGAAAATAAACACCGACAGTAACTGTCACATATGGAGGAAATGCAACAAACCTTTGTTTCCAAGCATTTTATTGCTGTTAAGTGGTAGCATCTATTTGAACCTCTTTATCATGTTGATCTAGGATTGGCTGTTCTACAACAATTTTCAGTTTTATTTATTCATTAAATATTAGGAAATGGTCTGAACAGGAGATAGACTATTTGTGTAAATAAAGGATTTCTTAGAAGATAAACAACAAATATAAGTAACCTGAGGAAAGACTTATCTTGCAATAGTGATCATATATCGGCATACATAAACTCCAAATCAAGCTCCCCACAAATTTAGCAAGAAATTACTAGTACATAATCTGCGAACAAAGATAGCCGCAATAGTCCCTTAGGCATTGGCTTAATGGTAGATATATATGTTTGGATGAAGAAGGTTTGAGGACTGTAACCCTCGAAGTTCTTCTCAAAAGCCCAGATATGATGACATAGACTTTTCTAAGAAAGCGGACTCCTGGTTTGGTAGTTGGGATGCCAAAACCAGAATATAACAGAGGATTACAATTTCACCACTCACCGACCCGAAAGGGAAAACCAAGAAATAGAAACCCCAATATCAGACACTTCAATTATGGACCAAGCTTCAACACAGAAACACGAAAACTATAAGGAATAGTGGTTGGAGCATCAAAGTGATTCAATTTGTTCTTTTCAACACAAGAACAAAGTGAATCAGTTTCTTCTTTCCTTCATTTATTTCCAACTGGAGTAGCCTAGCATATTCTTCAAACAGTAAGTCCATGAGCTCCTCTCCAAAATGATATTTGGTCAAGGGCTCCATCACAGCTCTCAGGATAAAAGCCAAGTCTTTCCCATTGTCATTAGCACCCCAAGGAGCTATTGGTAGCTGCTCAAAACGCTTAAGTGTGAATGACCCTTCTCTCTTTACCTCTTCTTCAACTTCTTTTACAGATGGACTATAAAAGGGTAAATCAAATGAATCCAACTTCTCCTTGTCTATAAGTCCCTGTGTTACATGAGAGAAAGAGAGAGTAATTAAATAGAAAAAGGAGTCTTCAAAGACCTAGATATAAGAAGTGTTTCTATTGAGATTATCCTCCTCATTTCTTTGGCTAAAAACAAAGATCGAAGCAATTCACTATATGGAAGTATGATATTTGAGTCATCATCATAGCTTTTTTCCAATTAATTGGGTAAGTGCAATATTTTAGTACTGTAGTTCAAGGGTTTTGAAAGTTTGAAGGGGTTTGGATTTGTTTCCAGGTAAATAAAGAAAGAGGTGCAGTTTATATAAAGACAAAAAGTATTGCATCTTTTAAGATAGAGTTAAATCTATACATTTCAAATAAAATAGATGGTTATAACCTTGCTTTTATAAGTAATGTTGCAACCTCAAAAAATAAATCTAGAAAGAAGATGAAGTCCATGAATAATGGCTTAGGCTCTTTCTTCCTTCTCAACTTCAATTAGATTTTCAAGGATATGCTAAACAATCTAAGCTTGTACCTAGGATCTAGCCTAGTGGTAGGCATCTCGGTTTGTGTGAGGGCAGTCAAGGGTTCAACTTGAATGGCTTTTATATTTTACTTTAGACTTTAGGGATTGCTTTCAAAGAGACCATTTATCTTTTGTACATGGAGGTCACAAGACTCACAACCCACTCATTAGATGTCAAATTGGTTGGCTTGGAGTGAGTTATGAAACCTGAAATTCCTTTTTTGGAACTTTGTCTATTCAATCATACTCTTACAACCACCCATTTTGAAATTTAAGGGACAAAAATGATTGTTATCTCCATGTACGAAAAATAAATAGTCTCTTTGTAAACAATCATTAAATACTTCCAACCAAAGGAAAAACCATTTTTGACAGGTCGGCAAAAGAAACCCCAAAAATGGGGTCATCAGTAGAACTTGAGTGATTCCCTTGTACTCAAGAATCACCAGAGTCCTGTACTGAATCTCACTAGTTCCAATCAAACTCAATTCCCCAGTTCAAAGGCCTCTGAAACCTATAACCTGATGATTTCAGGTCAACTAGAACGATTCCAAATCAACTCAACGAGTTTTCAATCATTAACTGAGAGTGAAATTCGAGGAGATACCTTGAAAAACAAACTCAATATGGCTTGATTTAATACTTTCCATAGAGAGAAAAATTCCTTATCAGCTTCTTGTCTTGCAGTGCGACCAAAAAATATTAGCACCATGTATCCACCTCTTACTATTTCTCGTGAGCGAAACCCTAAAAATGAAGAGAAATCCTTTTGAAATTGTTGAAGATAGGCTTGTGCCACCTCTGGCGGGCTAGCCTCATCTATGTATATGTGACCCTTGTTAAGGGGCATGCCCTCCTCATTGTATAGCCCCAAAGGAACCTGCAAGAGACCATATTATTAGCCAAATGCCTTTCTCTAAATTTTAATATTTATTTAGGGTGAGGTTTGTAGCGGATACCCATTTTATATCATACAAATAAGGCACACCTCTAAGTCTTATTGGATGATATAGATTAGTTGTTAGAAACCTTAGGATGACTTGAAAATCTATGTTCAACCTATATTATAAAATTTCAAACTCCAAAAGTACTGCGATCTCCGATTTTGATCGTTGATGCTGATGGAAATCGATCGGGAACAACTTTGAGATGGTATGGGTCCCGGCCCAGTTGCCCCCTAAAATCCCCCTCTTTACTTTTTATTTTTTTTAAGCTAGTCATAAACTTTCTTAGTTCCAATTAAATTCCCGGCCATAAGCCCCTATTTTATAAGTTTTCTTTGGTTAGAACCCAAGTAAACTACACTCCCAAGAGATTCCAGTATATATGCTCATCTTCAACAACAACAAACAAACATCAATCAATGGTCATCTTCAACAACAACAAACAAACATCAAACAAAAGCAAAAATAAAATCGACATCAAATAACACAACAAATTCAACCACACTTGGATCACTCCATGATGAGCTCTGCCACCAAATGCTCTGACCTCCTTTTGGCCACCTCTCCAAATCTAATGTTGGAGCTCCTAACTCAAATCCCAAGTTCAATAACCATCTTAGATGGCTTTAAAATAAAAAAATAAAAAAAATAAAGATTTTGTTTAAAAATAAAAAAAAGTTAAAAGTAAGGCAAAACCCAAGACAACATGAAAAGTTAAAAAAAAAACTAAAAAAATATAAATGATAGGTTTAGAGATAATTGATTGCAGATTGGAGATATTTTAGAAAAAACTAAAAAATGAGAAACTATAAAATGGTGGGATATGACAAGTAAAACCCAGTGATCATTGTAAAAAAAATCCAAATTGTATACATAATTTCTATATATTGATTCTTATAAAAAATTTACATCATTCGATCTTTATCCTTAATATTGCGATCTGTTATTGTTAGACAAGATTATAATAATAAATATATATGCATAGGAATAGGAAAAGGGTTCATAAACCTTCAAAAAAATTTTAGCACAAAGGTATAATTGCATTTTTGTATAAATTTATCTTCCTTATATATTTATTTGTAACTTACTAAGAGAAATCCATGGCTTATTCTCGCATGCTTATGTATCTACCGCATCTAAACACCATTAAAGAGTAGCATCAAACTTGTAAAATCATTCCTCAGTTAATTTTCTCTTTCTAACACTGGTTATAAACAAAAGGATGGTTTCTATAAGACCTAGGCTTTATGAAAACAAAACGAAGCCTCACACCTTAAATCCTGGTTTGGATAGTACTTGCAAGACGTAAATCCCTATTATGGCTCTAAAACTAATTTCTGACAATACAATTTAAAGCTCAAAAAATAGTACCAATTTTACAGATATGTGAACACTTATTTTAAAAGCAAAATGGACGGTTTAGGTAATTTGTTACAATATACACTATTTTTTATGTTTAAGTCGAGATGATCGATACAAGGGGTTTTCACTACTTAACTTGCAATTTTAGATGAGTTATGAAATGAGGATTTACTTAGTTTGATAGGGCTGCAGCCCTATAAAACCATTTTTCTAAACAAAAACAAGTAGCTAGAGCTTAGTGTTCAAACTTCAAAAGATTGACAGGCCTTAGAAAACGGCCGAGTCACCGGTAAATCGATTAGTTCAATCGGCCTTACTGGGGAAAGTCCCAGTCGGTCAAAAAAATGTTAAAAAACAAAAAATTACAAAAATAATATAAAAAATATAAGCAGTATGTTAAGAATAGATTTTAAAATTTGATTCGTACTCAAGAGGTATTTTTGAATTTTTTTTAAAAAAATAGAAGAATATAAAAAAAATAGTATTACCACCAAAACGCTTTCCAATCGTTAAAATGATAAAAAATATATATATATATTAAAAAAAATATTACAAATAAATATTTTAATTTTTGAGATTTTATAAAAAAAAATTATTTTTTTAAAATACCTAGCGAGAGCTCTAAGGAGTAGTGCCCAGTTCCGGTTTGACCCGCCGGTTCGGCCGAGTTTGCAAACAGAGCTACAAGGTGCACTACTCCGGGGACTGAATTTAGCAAGAGAGAACTACAGGGAGCACTGCAAAGGGACTCAATTGAGAGAGAGAACTAGTTAGAGCCACAGGGTGCACTGCCCAGGGGACTAATTTGAGTGAGAGGGGGAGAGAGGGCCTACTTGTGAGCGCCAATTGAGACTGTAAGACGCATGAACGAAGTGCAAACTGTTTGCCGGAAAGATTCTAGCATAGAAAGAGCCAGCCACACCGGCAACGAAACACGACCCCAAAACACCATCTTTCTCCCTCACCGACTCGTAAAATGCAGGCAGTGCCCGGAAAATTGAGTTGAAGTCATTCCCTGGCAAGTCATTAAGGTAGACTCGGAACTCCGGCAGCGGTTTCTTGTATCGCTGGTATTCCAAACACGCTGCTCGGATGATGGTGATGAGAGCATAGAAAGTGTTGGGGCCGGAAGAGCAGCCGAGATCGGCGATCCCCAAGCTGTCGGGCAAATGGGCAGAAAGCATGTCCCTTGCTGCATCTTCCGTTATAGGCTTAACCACCTCCAATCCATGTTTCTGCAAACAAAACCATCAACAATCGTTAATGGGCAGAGACACAAGGGCGGGGAAGAGAGGGGGAGGGGCCAGTCCTTCATAAGAAAAATAAGAAACTTCATAAAAAAAATAATTCAAAAAACATAAGAAATCTGTTTTTTTAAAAAAAGCATATTCTTTTTTGGAAAAAGTTTATATAGAGCCGAGGCTCTAAATAATCAAATTAGAGCCCACCTCAAAAATTTCACTAGAAGATGTTATTTTGATACCCAAATATCTTCAAATTGATCATCCCGACATCAAGATGCATGGACATGAGAAACAATGGATTTCATGGTTTACCTATAGTGCATCTTGTAACACATATTTTGGACAGTCAATTTTCAAGATTTTCATAGATCTGCTCAGTTTACATTTTTTTTTAAGCTTTAAATTTTATAATAAATAAATAAATATATATATATATATATATATATATATATATATTAAGGTTATTACGAAGATTTTTAGTATTGAAACCACATTTCTCGACATTATTTAGAGGTGCGCTTTTACTTTGATTGTTTAGAGCCTGGGCTCTATACAAATTGCACCCTTCATTTTTTAGGAAAAGTTTATGTAGAGCCGAGGCTCTAAACAATCAAAATAGAGCCCACCTTAAAATAATATTTAAAAAAAACAACACTTTTTGGGAAAATTTTTTATAGAACCTTAATTTCTCGTATTCTTTCATGGTGAACCCTCCTTCCGTTTTTATTTCAAGCGGCATAAGAAAACCCCGAAGGATTTCACTATCCCCCCCCCCCCTCTTATCTCCCTCTCCATTTTTTTATATGTTTTCTATTATTTTAACAAAGACTAAAGAGTACCTTGACCATGAAAACTTAATTTTATATTTTTTTGAAATATTTTGAAAATACCCCTGCCATAAATTGATTTTTAAAAATCTATTTTTTCCCTACTTATTTAATCACATTTAGATGTGTTTTATTTAGTTTTATTTTAAACATATTTTCTTAAATTTTGAATTTTTTTTTTTTAAATATTTTTTGTTGTTACAGTACTCAGCTCTGCTTGAACCGAGATACTCGACTCGAGCCTAGTACTCAGCTCAGGTATGGGCCGAGCACGCAGCCCTAATCGTGGTTTCGACCTAGTGTAGGAAAAGAATCAAAACGGTTAACAGGACATGGGGCAGAGGCGGTTACTCAATAATAATTGGGCAATTCCCGGGTGGTCAAAAAGTGTTAAAAAATAAAAAAAAATTTGAAAAAATTTAATAAAATATAGATTTAAAGCATGACTAAACAAAAAATATAAAAAAAAAATCCAAAATTAATGAAAAAAATATAGATTTGTGCCTAAAGGTGTTTTTGAAATTTTTCAAAAAATTGAAAAATATAAAAATAAGTATTAATTGTCAAAACAATTTCCAATTTTTGTCAAAATGATTGAAAACACCTAGTCAATTCACCAAAACCAGTTAGCCGGTTACGATTTACCCATACATTTAGGATTTGAACCGCCCGATTTTTTCTACACCGATTCGAACACTAAAACAGGGTAACAGAGAGTGTGTGGTGGTGAGGAAGAGCATAACAAAATTCAAATAATGATGATGAAACCTGGAGCGAAGAATTTGCAGCGTAGCTCGTCTTCCCTCCCCCTTCATTCATGTGAAGCACGTTTTTCACATCCATTGCTTAAAATCAAGTTCTCTCTCTCAATGCCCTAACTTATTTCTCTCTCTACAAAGATCTCAAGTTATTTTTGCCTCTGCTTGAAGTCTGCCACATTTATAGCACTGGCCGAAACGTGATCCTCAAGGGCGTCACAAAGGACACACTAATTGGTGGGGAACGCATAATTGTTATTGTTTTGGTAATATTTAGATGCAATTTGAGAAATACATCCTTACTGTTTGGCTATGTATAGAATAATATAGAAAATACATTACCAACATTTTACCGGTACTTGTCTATAATAAATTTTCAGGTATCCAAATGGCCTTTAAAAGTATATTTTTACTTTGGGGTCATGAAAATATTGAATTTTTTTGAAGAAGTAAAATCCATGGCAAAAAAAAGTCCTCAGCATGGACCATTTTTAATTTTTAATTTTTTTTTTAAAATCATGACTGTGGTGGCCGAGGTTATCGACAAGTAAAATTATTGTTGATCCAAAATCAATATTAGCAACATTATATGTTCAGCAGCAGTCCTGGTAGTGATGGATGGTCACATAAGCATTAAAGCAGGGGGCGTCGAAATGTAGAAGTCATTGATATTGTTTGCCAGAAGATTATGTGCTCCTGCAGGATCGTTAATTCACTTCCTCGGTAAAGCTCTATTTAATATTATTTTTAGGACCCCAGATTTTGGGGATGTGACCTTGTTGCAGCCACCAACCTCAGAGGAAGAGAAGATTTCGTGTTCAATATTCTAGTATTTAATTTTTGTCAATTTTTGGATGTGTTGGGTATAAGTGTTCAAAAAAGAAATAAAATATATGATTTCTTTCTCCGAGAATACCCCTATAATATAATATAATGATTCTAAAGTGGATCCCAAAATTTAGATGACTAAAGTATTTGAGAAAGTTCATGTAATTTTTAGAGGATGAAATTGTAATTTTTTCTAAAAAATTTCTGACCATTGCCCCTAAGTTTAATGCCACTGAGGACATAATTTTGAAGCTAAAAAAACAATAAAACCAGTTTCCCTCAATAGATTAATAGTAAATGATTACATCCTTAGTCTTATCAAACTAAGAGCAATAATAGGGTGCGGTTTGTATTAGATCCGAGGCTCTAAACAATCAAATTAGATCCACTTTAAAAATAGTATCGAGAAATGTGGTTTCAATATTAAAAATCTTCGACTAGCCTTAAAATTTATTTTCATTTTTAATTATAAAATTTAAAGCTTAAAAGATAGCGTTGATCGAGCATATCTATGAAAACTTGAATAACTTAAAAATTGACAATTCAAAAATGCATCACAAGATACACTATTTTCAAAACTTGAAATCCATTTTTTTTTCAAGTTCGTGCATCTTGATGTAAAGATGATCAATTTGAGGATATTTAAGCATCAAAACAACCTCTTCTAGTGAAACTTTTGAGATAATTTCTAATTTGATTGTTTAGAGCCTAAGCTCTATATAAACTTTTCCCTTACATTATTACAATACTATTTATAGTCAAAATCATCCAAACCATTATATGTAAAATATGACGACTTGAGATGCAATAAAAAGTTTAAAAAAAAATTGTGGCATTATCCTATGGAAACCAAAAGTTGAAAGAAGATTGTGGCATTATCCCCCGTACTACATCGAACGTGTAACATGTTTCAATGACGTCAAGAGGGGTACGTCATGGCCATGACATTGACAGAAAATGCAAAACCCTAGGGACTCTAAAAATTAGAGAAAGAGAGAGAAATTTATTGATTCCATGAGATTGGGAAAACGTATGAAGCACCTGAGAACAGTTCCGGAACTGTGAACACTGAAAAGTTGATTTAGAAAGTTTAAAAAGTGGTATTATAAAAGTCCCAAATGATTTTATTCTCTTGAATGAGTATATTGTTTATTTATTGCCTCAAAAAAGATCAGATTTGGGAGTATTTTTGGGGCCCCAAATTTTAAGGACGCAAACTCTTTCATTATAATTTAGGAGTGTTTTTTAAATTAGATGTTGTTATAAGACAATTTAATTTATTTTTATTTGTATGTATAGTAAAATAATTATAAAATATAAAGTAATAATTTCAATTTTAGTATATAATATTATAGTTGGTTAGGTTGTGATAATTTTAAATGAGTAGAGAGAGTTTACAAATATTTGATGTGATACTAATTTCACTTTATAAGTGATATTATTGTTATTTATCTTACAATATGGAGGTGTTTTTTTAGTATTTTTGAATCATGCTTAATGCAATATCATTACATTATCTATTATAAATAATAATTATACAAACATCCAGATAGAGAAACAACGTCTCAATATTGACATACTTTTTTGCAAAATAATAAAAATACAACCTCAAATTTTTTTTGAAACTCAATAAACACTATTTTACGTATTTTTTTAAGTCAAACTGGCCGATCCGACAGCTTTTCGGATCCGAATCGCCGATCCACCAATCTAACACAATTTTTTGGGTGTTGATCCAGGTCACCGATCCATTTTTTTTTTTAAAACCTTGGTATTTAAGATTTGATAATCCAAATTGTTTTACTAGTGAAACCTTTGTGGTCTAAATTGTGGTACATGTCATTAGACTGGATGAAGTATTCCCTTTATAAAAATGATTAAATATTAAAAAGTTGTTTCTATGTTTGGATGTCTATATAATTATTATTCATAATATAATATTGTTATTTTCTATTAAAATGATTAAATATTGAAAAAAACTTCCATATTATAAGATTAAAAAACTAATATCGTTTATAAAGTGAAATTAGTATCACTTTAAACATTTATCAATTCTATTTACTCATCCAAAATTATCACAAGCATAATATTATATAAGGAAATTTATCTTATAATTTTAAAAATATTATTTACAACTATAACAAAAAATAATACATTATATAATTTATCATACAAATAAATTAATAAAAAAATAATATAATTTGTATGAAAATTATTCACTAGTTGTTCTCAAAATTATTGATGAACAACTTTTGAGAAATTTTTTGCCAATCTCGCATCGATTGAACAATTAGTGAACATTTCAAAAGTGATCGGCATAGATGAGAATGGGACCGAGGCGCACAACAATCACAAACACTTTTTATTTAAATGCATACACCATGCTTTAAATGTGTATATCTATCTTCCCTAGCTCAAAGCACTTACTTAGGATAATTTTTTTAGTCTAAAATTTTGAAAATATATAATATTTTTTTTTAAAAAAAATATATATATTTAAGTCGTGTAACACTTAGATCTAGCCCTTCAAAAAATTGAGGTACTAAGGGAAATATTTCCATGTGACCGCACCCACATATAAAAAAAATATATGACAAGTATTTCCCAACCGTCTAATCAGATCTAAAAAGAAGACTAGGATAATACCAATCAAAATGTCGCAAAATTGAAAAACAAACTTGGGTACCGACTCTCAGCTCATTGCCATTCCCTTGTCCAATCAGGAATCCGACCTATCTCGCATCTCATTCTCTCTCTCCCTCACTTGCCCAAATTGTGGGGCCCTAAATTGACATATTCATGTGTGCTAAGCTGTCTCGCGTATTCAAAACTTTTCATATGTGGTTAGAGCAACAAGACGAAAAATACTTCTATAAATTGACATATTCATGTGTGCTAAGCTTTCTCACGTATTCAAAACTTTTCATATGTGGTAAGAGCACATGCCCTCGCAATTGTCGTGCAAGCAACAAGACGAAAAAGACTTCTATGTCCTCCCACCGACATAACAAAATATATGGCTCATATTCCCCACCTTTCCTTTCTCTCTCTAACAAAAAAAAAAGAATTAGAGGAAAGGAGAAAAGCTGTAACCGCAACAATAATCTCACTTTCTTTAAGAACGATGGTAGTCTCATTACTCATAGCAATGTTTTCATTGCGGGTGAGGAATGAAAAAGGTTAAAGTGAGATAATGAGATTAGTGAGAAAAAGGGAGAGTATATAGACTCTGAGATTTCCTGGTTGGGTATGGGAAGGGCAAGGGCAAGGGGAAGGGGAAGGGCAACCAACTGAGAGAGCTGGTTCCCAAGTTTATCTCAAATTTTGAACATTTGGACTAGTGTTATCCCAGTCGTTCTTTCAATCTGGATGCGAAATATAACCACATATTTTTTCTATGTAGGTGGGGTCACATATAAAGTTTCCCCTTTTAAGATCGAGTGTAGTTTGTATAAGGTTGCAACCTAAAACAATTAAATTAAGGCGTACATCCAAATTTTATCATAAACATAATTTTAGTGTAAAGTTTCTTGTAGGATGGCTTGAGAATCTATTTTTATCTCTAATTATAAAACTTTAAACTTAAAAAATAGTTCAGATCAAATCAAGTAGATCTATAAACACTTGAAAATTTTGAAAATGGATGGTCCAGGTAATTTGTTACAAGCTACACTATTTTAAAGACTTTAAATCTTTTTTTCTTTTCATATTCATACATCTTGATGTCAAGATTATTAGTTTGAGGTTTTTCCAACATCAAAACGATTTTTTAGGTGCACCTTACTTCTACATTTTGAGGTTGCAACCTTATATAAACTTTTTCAATAGAGGAAAACATACAGTTTTGGTACGTCGCAGCCTACTCAACAGCAAGTCTAAGCTTGAAGATCTGTACCATCCATTAAATTAAATGGTATAAATTGCATAAAAATTTTTAGAAAGGAAAACCTGGAACTGGTATCATGGGTTGCGCCATTTCACCCAACGGAGGCCCCCCCAGTGTTAGCAAAATCGGCCAAGTAGTTTCTACTCAACCGAGCTACTCGGGCTTGGGCCCTTGCCGAGCCTGAGTTGTTTCGAGTTGGGTGTCTAACTCGGGGATATTAAAATTTTCTAAAAAAACAAAAAATTTATTTGGAATATATTTTTTATGTTTTCTATCATTTTGGCAAAGATTGTAAAGTGTTTTGGCTATAAATACTTGTTTTTACATTTTTCTATCTTTTTTAGATTATTTAGAAAATACCCCCAATCACAAGTTGATTTTTAAAAATCTATTTTTTCTACTACGTCTTCAACATCATTTTGTAATGTGTTGCTTAATCTTACTCTAGACATATA